TAAATGCATTTTGTACTGCCTCTCGGGTAATGAATTTTTTTCCCGCGAAGAAGTTATTCAAATTCTGGAAAAGAAGTAGTCTGGTGAGTAGGGTGGATATTGGAGAGCTTCCAACCCCAGTTCTTGTAACTTGGAGACCATCTGTTGTGCAGCTTTAGGTCGCGCGTTGTAATGCAGGAGCAATGGAGATGAGCGATTGACCAGTGCTGGTTGGAGATGTGTCAGCTTCTCCATCATTGTGTTCAGTTCTTCACATTACACATCCGCAGTAATGCTCACTCCGTTTGGTAAGAACCTGTGATGAATCAGACTGGCGCTAGACCATCAGTGACCATCACTTTTCTAGGAGTAAGTTTTCGTTTCGGGTATTGTTTAGGTGCTGAACTAACTACTACTACAACTATGTTGAGCAGTGCAAGGCACTGCTCGATGCATACTTAGCTCTGGCGATCATTGAGTTTGTGGGACACCCACTTGTCAAGTTTTTTTACCTTGCCAATTTGACGTAAATGGACCAATATTGTTTTGATGCTAACGTCGAAAGCTGTTGCTAAATCAGCCGTAGATTGTATGTCATCAGCTTCCACAATAGCCTATTGTCACCAAAGTCTTCGGACGACCGCGAGGTTGATCTTGAAATTAAAGTACTTAGGATTCAATTTCGATGAGCGTTTTACGTAAACACTGGCGGTGAGTGCGCGTCCCGTCTGTCTTCGACGCATTCTGGAGTGACTGAAGCGCCAGCGCACGATAGTCCAGTTGGATGATCACGATTTTTAACACCCGGGCGATGAAATAAATATAGTATCATATGACATGATTGAAATGTACCATATTAAAATTTAGTGATTTAAAGACCGATTCATATTTTTATGAATACTGGCAAAATGTTTCAATATCCATTATTAATGTTATCATCTGTATAAAACGACATGCATTTTAAAAAAAAGGAGGGCTAAATGATTTATGACTAAACAAAATATCTGAACGAAAACGACTATTTGGTTTAAGTAGCACCCTGCGTGGAAAATAAAAGCAGCTAGAAGTGTTTAAGAGACGAACCATGTCGTATTTGGGTGACGGATAAATGTTTTAAGCGACAACACACCGTGTGATTAGTGGGAAGTCAAAATGATTCAAGTTACTTGCTAGTAAAAATTAGAAACAGGAAAAACGCTTTAACTCATTTTGACTTATTAATTAGAGATAGGGTGACTGGTTTATGTCTCGGTTATTAATATGATGGTATGGTTCAAGTACATAATTTAATAAAAAATGCGAAATCCATGTCGTTTAATACACTGTCACTTTGGAAACAACACGAAAATAGAATTGTTTGAAACGCCAAAAAAGTGCTCCGATTTTAATGAAACCGGCATCAATCGACGGAGAAAAATTCGCTGATTCCGAATATATATATAACTCAATATCGCCCAAAATGTCGCTTAAACCAAATAGCCCGTTACCCCTCGATAT